GGAAGATTCGTAGAACTATGATCTCCTCATTCCCGAAAGCTGCTGGGCACCTTATGTACTTGCAGCTCTATTTCTATCTATTTCATATATATGTTATATTATTTTTTTTTATTTTTCTTGATGATAGGCATACACTGCCCAATAACAATAGTTTTTACGATAAAGCAGTTAAAGTTCAAGAAGTCACACAGAAATCATCATCATATTTAAAATCATAAGGATATCAGATTCCTACCTTCAAGGCCTATGATATGAACGACTTCTATCTTTGAAACTGACTCAGTCTTCATTCATTCGTGCAGCCCTGATTCATTTTGATGTTGACTTTTGTTGCTATACCGTAGAGATTACTTTTATTAAGCAGTATGGCTAAGTGAAGCGTAATGTTGGTTTAGTAGTAGTAAACTCGAAAACGCAGAGTTTTAATCAATTATTTTTCTTTCTACTCGGACAACATTTTTTGTATAAAAAGGTAAAATTTGCTAAGAAATCAGGTTTTCCCGTAATTGATTCTTTCGTTGCCTTTTAAAGGCTTTTGTATATTCGAAAGAGATCTGCAACTACGCACGAGGTGGCAAAATTTAGGCTTTGATTGTGCTTTTTTGATTCGCGCTAGGAACTGAAAAGTTGAAGAAAACAGGAGTATGACTGAAAGAAGCTTGTATGGTACGACGGCAGAATGATTAGCACATTTCTTCTTTCAGTAGCTTCGTAGATTTCACGCTCACTCCTCCATGCCTCTAAAATAAGCAGTTCACTCGAATAAATTGAATGCTGCAATTTTCATGGAACAAAAATGAGGATGGCATTGAAAGTTCGCATGTTTATTGCTTAATGTTGCAATTTTCCATACATCACAAATGATACAGGCATTAACAATGAGCCAAACCTCAAGATAACGAGATCAGTAGCTACGAGTACAGCTGTTGACTAGAACAACAAGCAGAGATCAGTTGATTAGGTAAGAATCAGTTGATAATATGAGTTGAAGATCATCTCTTACTTATTTCTGCACAACACATAGCATTACTGTACATATGACATTGAAACGAGATCATGCCGATAACAAAAATATAACAAAATGATGACAAAAATGATAGATTGCAAGAATAGAATATTTCCAGAGATATTTATGAAGCAATTATATGATTATTCTAGTCGTAATGCAAAGATGCAAGCACAACAGCTGAATCAGTCATTGCTTCTTCGGCACTAAATTGTTTCAAATTTTGAAATAATTAGAGAAACGCTTGGAAACCTACCTAGTTGTAACTGAACTGGGAAACATCCCATCGCTGCTGGCTTCGCTTTTCTGGCTCGGGCTAACTGGACCTTCCGATGATCGTGTGCTGTCCGTGGCTATTTCACCACCTTTTCGATTTCCCTGGTATTTTTTCTGACGAGCCCTTGAGTTCTAAATTCGGTTACGAAATCAACTCCTACTAAAGGTTATGGAAGAGATTTACTCAAGCTCACATACCTGGAACCAAACCTGCGTCACTCGTTTACTCAACCCTGTTATATTCGCTATCCTCTCCAAATCAGCTCCATCCGGGTTGCTGTCTACTTGGAAATGCGCCTGTAAAAACTGTTTTTGAGAGAGTTTTCGCAAATAATTTATATTTGATTCATATCAAAAATTGCTTTGAATAAGCGGAATCATTAGGAAGTGAACCCCTCTTTCTATTCTGAGATATAGGGAAGAACGTTCGATCTCTACCTGTAGAACGCTAAGCTGCTCCTCTGCAAAAGTTGTACGCACCCTCTTGATCTTTTGCTTCTGCTGGTTTGCTCCTAAAGTTCTCTTTCAAAACTCAGAGCACAGATTCAATCTTTTCCTACTATGGCCTTTTCTCGTTGGGACAAGCGTTGGCGGTGTCGAAACGAAAACGAATTTACCCGAATCGCCATCGACCAACTCGACGAAATGTTGCTTGCATAGTAGACGATTATCTTGTAGTGCAAATTCTTCACCAGTGCTTAGTTGTCTGGAAATAAGGAAAAATCAGAGATTATCGTAGCGTACCATGTATAAAATCAACTTACCGCTTACATTGTGCACAGGCGAAGCAGGCAAGATGAAAAACGAAAGATCGGGCTCGCCGAACCCAGTCGGTGGCATGGATCAACCGAGAGCAGGATGCACACTTTGTACCGAACTGTCTGAAAAAAAGTAATTTTAACTCAAGCTTGTGTCGTGAATGTGATGAAGTAAGAGGTACGCTTATGGGAAAAATCAGGTATTGGTAAATAGCTCCATTTTTCAAATACAGTTTGTTTGAGAGATTCACCCAAGTTCAAAAACGCTCTAGTGACGTGATGTCTTGCAACGAATGCTATTACTTATTTTGCAATACTATTCATTTTCGATCAAACATTTGGAAAGTTCTGAAAATAGTGATGCAGAAATGAGGTAAAGAAAGCAATACTAATTT